AAATCGATTAGGTTCTCCTTTAAACAAATGTGAACACATCATGAAAGCTTCTATAATTGATCACACAAGACTGGCAACAACATGATATAAGGAACCCACTTAATAAATTTTTAGTTTAACATAAAATGTTACACTCGTGCCCTCGGGAAATGAAACTAGAATGTCTATGGAAATATATATAAAAAAGTTTTTGATGTAGAGGATGAGGTTACTCGTATAGAAGCAGAGCTCATGAGTAATAATTCTAAAGTTGTGGCTCGTAGCTTGGCTGTAGCCAAGAACAAATTATCTTCCTTGGTTTTGCGAAAGAAATCTTCTAAGAGAAAAAGCAAGGTTAAAATGGTTAAAGGAAGGAGACCAAAACCAAGCTTTCTTCCATATAAGTATGTGGTCTTTTAAACAATAAAATAACATCTCATTGAGAATTAATGATAATATTTGCACATATGACAATGTACTAGGTAACGATGCAGTTGCATATTTTTAGTCTCTTGCAAGCGAATTTGGTAGCTCCTCTAGATGAGCTACTTGAAGCTGTCCCTTCTTTAGTCATTATAGAGCAAAATCTTATGTTAATAGAGATTCCATCAACATAAAAATTTAAGCAAGCCATATTTGACATTAACCCATCCAATGCACTAGGTCCAAATGGTTTTACAAGGGTTTTTTACCGGACTTATTGGGAAGTGGTTGGAAAATCCCTAATTCGGGCAGCTTCATGAGGTGTTTACAGGTGGAAGTATATCGAAAGCGATTACAGACAACATCCATGGTACTTATCCCAAAATGTAAAAACCTAATAGAATATAATGATTTGAGGCCAATTAGTCTCCGTAATGTGTCTTATAAGTTAATTGCCAAGATAATTACTCAAAAGCTTAGTAAAGTTTTACCTTATATAATTTCGGAAGAGTAGAGTGGATTTGTCAAAGGACGACTAATATAGGAAAATATAGCACTAGCGCATGAACTCTTTCATGAAATTGAGTGAAAAACGATCGAAGGGAATATTATTTTTAAATTAGATATGACAAAGGTGTATGATCGTTTAGAATAGTTGTTTCTAATCAAAGCAATGATGAAGTATGGTTTCTCTACAAATTGGTGCTCCCTTATTCGGAGATGTCCGGATAATTGTTGGTATTCGAGTGATATTAAATGAGGGTTCTTAGGGTTTCTTCAAATCAGAATGAGATGTTCGGTAAGGGGATCTTTTTTCATGAATACTATTCATAATTGTTCGGGATGTTCTAAGTAAAAATCTCAACCAACAAGTTTTATAGGATCGAATTCAACCATATCGTATTGGTCAAAATACCATTAATGTTAATCATTTATTTTTTTATAGGTGACATGCTATTTTTCGGTAATGGGTCAAAACGTTTAGTGGATAAACTAATGTGCATAATTAGGAACTACTACGAGTGTAGTGGTCGGCTAGTGAACATTGACAAAAGTGGCTTCCTCTCGTAGTAGCAAACTTCCCATTAACGGGATCGGACTTTTGCGGAGATGAATAGGATTTAGACATATGAAAGCTCCCACCATATATTTGGGCATCCCCTCTTCAAGGGTGTGCTAAAGTTTCCTTTTTCCAAACTTTAGAGGCGAAGATACACAAAAACTCGGTAAGATGAAAGGAAAAGTATTATCCACGGGAGGTAAACTAACACTAATACAATCAATCTTATCCTCCCTTCTAGTATACATGATGAAAGTCATGCCTATTCCAAAGAGGACATTAAAGCACATCCAATCATGTATTTCAAATTTCTTTTAAAATAATGATGAAGAAGGACAACATCATTGGGTCACTTGGGAGAAAATTTCTAGACCTTCTTTAAAAGGAGAACTTAGAGTTAGGAATTTTTAAGAGGTAATGAATTCCATTAAAGGTAAACTTGCTTGGGCTTACCTATATGGAACTTCTTTATGGGAATGATTTGTAACTTTAATGTATGGCAACTATAATTCATTAAATGAAGAAGAAAATAGAGGGTCTCTTGTTTGAAGGAAGCTACCGTTGCATATCCTTCACATCAAGGATAACTCGAAATGGATAATAGGGGAGGGAAGCATTTTTTCGAGAGTATAGAGTCCAAAAATTTTAAACCAATATATATACCTTATTATAGGTGAGATATTACGTAACGCGAAGCCCTTTCTTCTCTTCCCACTTCAATCCAACGAGAGTTAAGTCCGGTCGAATAGCTTTTAATGAACCAAATAGATCGGTTTACACACCAATGACTTCAAGGCTATTTAAAATGATGACATACAGATAATAGTTATGGACTTCAAGTCCACGCTTTGAATGGTGGAAGCTATTATGGAACGTGTGGATACTTATTAAAATGGCTCTACTAACTCCGAAAGATATTAAATAATTGTGTTCCAAGTAGAGAGAAACATCCAGCATTGTGGCGGGCATTCATCTTGCCTCCCATTGCCATTGCTACAAACAATCGACAATGAAGACAAGTGGATCACTTGTTTACGTATAGAGAGGTTGTTGTAGACTGTATGGAACTTCTTTGGTCCCTTGTTGAATGTCCCAATGGGTTACATTAGTATATAATGTTTAGTGGGTAAGTGGCTTCATGAAGTCAATCCTTCCAACCAAAAACAATTTAGCGAGAATAATAGTGCTTCATTGCTCACTTTGGGAACTGTGGAAAACACGTAACTAATCTCTCGTTTGATGGAAGGGTAATGTCGGTAGTAGAAATCATCTTCAAAGTGCGAGAGATGGATCGTAGATATTTAACCCTTATTCATGCCGAGAGCCACTCTTAGTTTCCATGACACTTTAAGCATGTAAGCCTTACATATCCCGTTTTTACCTTTAAAAGTTTCAAAAGGAAAATGGATTATTTGGTCTCCCTTTTCTATTCATTTGCTGAAACTAAACCGTAATGGCTCTACAAGAGGAAGGAATATGCACTAGAGGAGGTATGATGAGGGATGGAAATGGAAAAATGATTATGGCATTCTCTTCACACTTCGAAAAAGGTACTAATAACATAGGAGAATTAAGAGTAGTAGTAGAAGGTCTTGAATTGTTTAAGAATTTAAATTTAACAATTCACTTTGTCGAATTTGATTCAAAACTTATGATTGATGCTATCAATGGAATATCTAAAGTACCATGGTCATTAACATATTTACTTCGACAATGCAAACATTTGATGGGGTATGCTAAATTATTCATATTTGTAGGGAAGACAATTTCATTGTTGTCGGACTAGCAGATTAGGCTTATGTGTATGGAAATCAAATTATTTATCACACACCTGGATACTCTTCCTTCTTCAATTCATATGGCTCTCAAAGAAGACTACCATGGGTTAGCGAGGTTTAGGAATTTACTCTTTTAGTTCGTTATTCAAATCATGTCTTTGTGATGTAGCATAAAGTTAAATTTTGTTTTAGGATTTCAAAATCCTTTATTGTTTTTCGTGGATTTAGGCTTCATTGTCCCACCATCATAGGGTTAGGTCTGGTTTGTCACCCTTTGTATCTTTCCACATTCCATCTATAAAATATCAAGGTACCGTCCCTCGTTCCCTAAAAAGAAATGACTCTAATATTATTATTATTTATACATCATGACCATATTCAATAGGTGATAATACATAGCATAAATTAAAAAAATATTTTAAAAAATTAAATTATAAAATATATATTGAAGTTAATATAGTGCAATAAAAACATAAAATTGATTTCGATAAAATTTGATTATATAAATATTAAGAAAATAAAATACATATATATTTTTTAAAATTTAATTATATAAGAATCAAGCAAATAAAAATAGGTATAAAAAAATATTTGAATCCATACATACGGAAAATAAATCATATTTATTAATAAATAAAATTATATAAAAATAAGAATAAAAATTAACTTGATGTGAATTTTTATAATAAATTAAAAAGATCAATTTTAAATAATAAAAGTAGTATATATTTATTCTAAAATCTAAAAACATTTCGTATGTATTATATAACTATCGGTTTATATGAAAAAAATATCAATTGATTTTTTAAAATTTTAATACCTAGTTAAATAAAAAAAGAATAAAAATTGATGAAAAAATCTAAGGAAAAAAATTGTATAGTGCATTAGTTAAGGGATTAAAATTTTTATTTTAAATTTTTAAAAACGAAAATGAAGCTATTTGAAAATTACAAAAAAAAAAAACTAGTTATAGTGAGTGAATAGTGATTTATGAAAATCACCGTTCAAACACCCTACCTCTTTTATTTATATAGTAATGTTTTGAAAGTGCTCCTATTTAGGGAAAAAATTAGTTTCTTTTGTAAGTGTTCAAGATATCAAATAATGTTTTCAAAGGGTATTAATTAATTAGAGTTTATTTTGATTAGATAAAGGATTCAAAATCAAATTCACTATGGAAAAACCTAATCAATTAATTTCAATAAACTATATGATTAAGCTATAATTAATTTGGTTGTGCATCTTCGATAAGAGGTAAACGTCAAGGAAAAAAAAAAGGTGTGCATCTTCGATAAGAGTTACATTATTCTTTTTTTAAAAAAAGAAAAAAAGAAAAAATTCCATACACTGAAAAGAAAAGGGAAAGAGAGGAAAAAAAAAAAAAAAAAAAAAAGGGCAGGATTTGTAAAAGCAAAACAGGCAGCGGCCATTTGAGTAAAAAACAAAGAAACCAATAGATGAACAAAGCAAGCCGTCACCAACCTCTTCGACTCTCTTTTATTCCCTTTCCTGCTAAACAAAGAAAGGAAAATTAAATTAAAATTGAAACTAAAACTTAAAACAAAACAAAACACCCCTCCCCAGAGACGCCGTCGTTTCAACGCCGGTGCCTCTGATTTCCTCACCTCCAAACGATGAAGCGACGCTTCAGCTTCTCGCTACCGGTAACCGTCGTCATTTTAGCCATAATTTACATTTACTTCTCCACGATCTTTGTTTTTATAGACCGTTGGTTCGGTCTCATGTCTTCCCCAGGCATCATGAACGCCGTCGTTTTCACAGCTGTTGCTCTCCTTTGTGTTGTTAACTATGCCTTCGCTATCTTGACTGATCCGGGTTGGGTCCCTTCCTCTTTCATGCCCGATATCGAAGATTCTGATAACCCAGTCCACGAGATCAAACGCAAAGTACTGCAAAAAAGGACTTTCTCTTTTTGAAGTTTTTTTTTTTAATTTTTATACCATTTTTGGTTAGATCTTTATGTTCAGTCAATTTCATTGATTTCTCTGTTAGTTAATTTGTAAAAAAAAATAAAAATAATAATATGGGTCTGGACTTTGCGTCAATGTTAGAACTTTCTTTATTGCCAAATGGATTAGCTTAAATGCCTAAATGAATTATTTGAATAATTGACTTGGAATGTTGTCTGTTACTGTTGAACTGATTTTGATTGCTATCATCTGGAAAGTGTTCCTTCCGAATTGTAATATTCCTACATTATGAATTCCGGGCAAGTGGATGTGTAATTGAGTTGAGGACCAGCTCATGTGTGAACACGTCTTGTAGACAATGTCCTGCTTTCTGGCCCCCAGAAGTTGATTTTTGCGAAACTAATTGAGTTTGAAATAGTTGTGCATTGAAACATCCGTCCTTTTTCAAATTTACAATGTGCAATGCTGATTTTTTGTGCCTAAAAGTTCGAATTACTTTGGTGGAATTTGTCAACATTGTACCTAGATGCTTGATTTTGGTCCATTATTCAAGTTGATGTATGTTTCACGGTCTGATTCATTTTTCAGAAGTAGAATGCCATCATGATTTTCTTAAACAGGGTTTTCGTCACCTCATTCCTTTTGTGGTTGACTGATCTCTTCCTGATAATTATTAATTTGTGACAAATCTTACATTATGAGTTTCTTAACCAGGGTTTTCTTCAGTTGTGTTATTGGTGATCTACTACCTATGCTATGTAGGCATAAAATAAAATATCAATTCTTTTTACATAGATCATGTTTGTTGATAAGGGTGATAACCTCCTGAAGAAATTTCATTTTTGTCTAATTCAAATGTGTACCTGTAAAAGAATAAAGATAACCCCCGTTCAATTCACTCAGAGGACTGCTGAGTGGTGACCTAGTGGTTAGTGACTAATATCCTTCTGGATTTCATGCTAAGTGGCTTAATGTTTAGTAGCCCCTGTTGCTGAGTGGTTAAAAGCATGTTAAAATACATATGAAAGAGATTGAATATTTGCAATTAGTTGTTTTCTTTATTTAAGCATGTGAACTGATCATTTTAAGGAATGAATGCACTTAAAACCTGAAACTGCGATATTTCTTGAAAGCAGGCAATTTTCTATATTAGTGAGAAGCTCGAGCGCTGGCTTCCCATATATGACACTTCTGTGGATGTTTGCAGGGAGGAGACTTGAGATATTGCCAGAAGTGCTCTCACTTTAAGCCTGCACGTGCTCATCATTGCCGTGTTTGCAAAAGATGTGTGTTGCGAATGGTACGCATGATCTATGTTGTCATTCATGCCTTATCTCAAATGTCCTTGTTAATCTGTTAAAGTGCTACCTGTTGATTGTAAGGACCATCATTGCATTTGGATAAGTAATTGTGTGGGCCATGCAAACTATAAGGTCTTCTTCGTCTTCGTTCTGTATGCTGCAATTGCATGCATCTACTCCCTGGTATGTAATAGTTTATATCCAACATGATTTGGGCACTTTCTCTAGTGACTTGTACTATTTCTTTATAATTCTGTAACTTAGCTTTTAATTGGCCTATTGTCATTTTCCTTCATTTCATATGGCATTGCACCTTTTCCCCTTCAAGTTTTTACACTATTGAACGACAGTAGGTGGATGCCAACAGAGAAAGTCTACAACTTCATTTTCTTTAGGTTTCTCCTCACTTAAATTTTCAGGTCTTGCTTGTTGGTAGCCTAACTGTTGACCCTCAAAAAGATGAGCTGCAGAGTGGTGACTCTTTCAGAACCATATATGTATGTACCCATAAATTTCATTCTTTTCCAAACCATGTATGTATGTCCCTATAAATTTCATTCTTTCAGCAACTATGTAATTCATTAAACTCAGCGCATCATTTTACTATTTTCAGGTTATTTCTGGGCTGTTGCTAGTTCCGTTAAGTGTAGCACTAGGGGTTCTTTTGGCTTGGCATGTCTACCTCATTTTGCAAAACAAAACTACAATCGAGGTTATTGGAAATTAAGGAATCATTATTTTTTTCTTATCTTTTTTAATACCCAATTCATTCCTAAATTCTTATGGTCTTGTATGGTATCTTGACAGTACCATGAAGGGGTGAGAGCTATGTGGCTAGCAGAGAAAGGAGGGCATGTCTATAAGCACCCATATGATGTGGGTGTTTATGAAAATCTGACTATGGTGAGAAGATTGTGCCATTTGCTTCTCTCTCTCTCTCTCTGTTTTTTTTTTTTTTTTTTACTTGGCTGAAAAATCTATGATAGCCATGATGTATACTTGGAAACTTTGATTTAGTTGGTTTTCATTTCCACCATACTGATACTTTCTCCCAACTGTTTGTTCCTCCATAAATGACCAATTGATATAATCTCTTGATGAACATGAGAAAGCTTGAAGGTATTTGATAGCTTTTAGGTTGCTGCTTCTGTGTATCCCAATGAGTTTGCATGGTCATTATCATTTAGACAGCTAGCAGTGATAGTTTGAGTTGATTTCAGTGCAATTTTTGAGTGTTCATTCTGGTGGAAGCACTCAGCTAGCAGTGATAGTTTGAGTTGATTTCAGTGCAATTTTTGAGTGTTCATTCTGGTGGAAGCACTCAGCTAGCAGTGATAGTTTGAGTTGATTTCAGTGCAATTTTTGAGTGTTCATTCTAGTGGAAGCACTCTGCATGTACTCAAAAGTACTTATAAATTCAAGTTGTTTGGTTTCTTGATGAAAACTATTACATTTTCCACATACAGGACCTCCTTGCAACTTGGACTTTATATTGTTGTTGAGTTGTGCATCACATTGATTCTACGGAGTCAGTTCAAAAACTTAAATGGTTCAACCATATCAGCTGCAAGTAGCTGGTCCACTTGCAAAGCCACTAAAGCTTGAAAAGTAACCCAGTCAAGTGACAGGCTATACTTGATTGCTCCATGTCCGTTCTGGCAGCTGGCTGGACCAAATTGAGATTCCTAGAGATGGTTTATGTTGGTACAGCTTACCATGCTTTGGCAAGGGCCTGTGGCTAGATTGGCCTGTTTAGACAATTCGGGTTAGCTATAGTTGTGGGAGTGTTGTGTATGATTGTTAAAATAGTATTATAAATTTAGCTGATACTTGAGGATTCTGACAATTATATTTTACACATCAATTCATGAACTGATTTTTTTTTTTTTTTTTTTTTTTTTGGGACTGCTTTAGGTCTTGGGTCCAAGTATCTTCTGCTGGGTGTGCCCAACATCAGGACATATTGGTTCAGGTCTCCGCTTCCGTACAGCCTATGATAGTATAACCAGTGCATCGGTGAGATAATCAAAGTTCTGTTTTGTATAACTCCATGAAAATAGCAGGGTGTGCAAGACAGAACTGTCCAAGACTGGACGATTGTTGATATTGAGATGCTTTCATTCATCCCCCATTTATCTCTGCCAACCCCCTCGAATTACCGCCACTCAACCATAGAACCAAGAGTCTAGGAACGGCCGGTGTCTGCTATATATCAGGTGAGGGGATGATTATTATTTTTTTTTATTTATTATTTTTTTTTTCAGTTCTTGCTTTGGGGGATATAAGGATATTGTAGAGATCTTGTAAAAGCTCACACACGAGTTTTCAGTTAATGCAACGTGTATAAACAATGATTTAGAATCCTTGAACTCACCTACATGAACACAACTCTTGTAACTTAGAATTGTAGGTTTTGTAACATCAAACAATAAATCAAAGCAAATTAATGAAGCAGTTTTGTTTGTTTGCCTTTGTTATCATGCTTGAATTGTATATAATCTTTAACCAAATACCTTTGATCGATAGCTGCATCCTTATATTATGAATTTTGCAAAAATATGAGACTAGTAGTGTGCAAAAATATGGCAGAAGTATAAATTTTGCCATTGGCTCCCAAAAATCAACAAACATTTTCATAGTTTTATTTTTTTTTCCCTTACATTTCTCTCCTTTGCGGTGTTCAAAATTAGAACTCAACTTTTGATTTAACTATTATGTCCTTAATACAATACTAACATTATAATTTAATACTAACATTAAGAATTAAATTCAATCCCATCTTTAATTTTTTTTAAAAAAGCTTAAAACATAGGCTATTTTTTCAAATGTATCCTAAAATATAAATTAATCATGTCTTATTATTATTTTATTATTTATACTTCATGTTAACACCTATTTTTTTACCCCACCTAATTTAAAAATTTTGGTGAGAAAATTTTTAAAAAAAAAAAGAAGAAAAGAAGAGAAAAGGAAATAAAAAAAATAAATGAATAATAATTTAGGGGGTATCCAATTGAAAAATAAGAGAAGTGAGGACTAAAGGAAATCCAACTAGGGATCTAATTGAAAGAGTTTAAAACTTGAGAACCATAATTAAAAGTAAGAGGGGGTGTAATTGGAAGAGATTAGAAAAAAAGGGCATAAATAATCTCAGTTAGGGGTGGAATTGAAAAAGAATAAGGAGATGTAACTACAGCCTCAAAAGACAGAGGAATCAAGAATTAAAATTGAATTTTTCCCTAAACCCTAATTAGTTCCTTAATAAATAACTCTTATCCCCCATTTTTAATACTCAATTACTATTCATCTCTAAAAAAAAAAAAACAAAAAGGATGTAGCCACCCTTGTCTTTCATCTTCTCCAATCGAACCAGCCACCAACCTAACACCCTCCTTCATCTTCTCCAACATAACAAGCTACTACAAAGCTCCAACCAAACACCCTCCTTTATTACAACTTTCTCCATTGTCTTTTTCAATCGAACAAGCCACCATAAAGCTCCAACCGAACCCTCACTCCTCTCTAGCCTAGACCGAGCACCAGACAGCCATCAAAAAGCTCTAATCGAACCCCTCCACTCCTCTCCAACCAAGATCGAACACCACACTAGCCATTAATAAAAAAAATATCCAACCTAACAACAAACTTTTGTCATTATCCAATCGAGACCCTAAGTGTCGATCGTCATCATTAGCCATCACACGAACCTTCAACCGAGACCTCTCTTTTCTAAATAAATAAATAAATAAAACTCACCAAAACTAATTGTCATCCTCTCATAGCCACCATTTAGCAGTAGCCCATGGCAAAAACCAATGCCAGCAATAACCTGCGACTAACATGTGAGCTTTTAGCAACTTTCATGGCTAATAGCTATTATCTCTAGTAACCCTCTTGCCAATCACAACCATAATCCAACAACTCCTATAGTCAACAATCACCATTTCAAGCTTTTGGTAGCTACCTTTTGCATAAAAGTGGGATCTATAACAACGGGTGGCTGTTTTTTCTCTCCGGATAACCGAATAATCAATTTTTATCGGGATTAAAAAAAGTAGAACCGACCCCAATTGGACTCTTATACCAATTTTACACCTTTTGACAATTATTTTAGGTAACTTTTAGAAATATTTGTATCCATTTAATTTTTAGATAAAAATAATGTGAATAATAAGATATTTTTAATGAATGAAATATATAAATGCATATTTGGTTGTGTTTGAAATATTTAAAGTATTGATTAGATACACCATTGTGTATCGAACCCAAAAGGATCAAGGACCCCTATGAGGAGTGATAAGGTTGGTGATCAATGCTATGCGATGGAGTTGGAAGGATTGGCTATGTGATTTAATTCTAATGGTTTATTTGGGACGAGTGCCATCTTAGTGTTCGTACTTGAAAATAATTTTGTTTGTTTGGGATGATATGGTTGATCAAACGAGCTGATTATGCTATCTTGATTAGATGATGTTAATGTCCAAAACATGATTTTAGTTGACTTATTATTTATTGGATTGAAATTGCTAGTGGCTTTCAAATATTTTTAAATGACTTGCTATTTGCTAAATTGAAGCTATCAGTGGCTTTCCACTCATATGGACAAAGTTGCATATGATTTTTGAACTTTTTAAATGACTTCTTGTTTGTTAAAACAAAGATGTTAGTGACTTTCCACTCATATGGACAAAGTCTGCTAGTGGCTTTGGAATATTTTTTAATGACTTGTTGTTTGCCGAATCAAAGTCATCGATGGCTTCCACTCACATGAAAAAAGCCACCAATGGCTTTCAAATATTTTTAAATGACTTACCATTTGCTAAATCGAAGTCGTTGGTAGCTTCCTACTCATATGAATGAAGTTATTAGTAGCTTTCAAATTTTTTGAAATGACTTGTTATTCATTAAAATGAAGTCGACGATGACTTCCCACTTCTATGGATAAAACTCGCTAATAGCTTCTAAACATTTTTAAATAACTTATTGTTCACTAAATTGAAGTCATCGATGGTTTCCCACTCATGTAGATAAAGCCATTAGTGGCTTCCAAACATTTTTAAATGACTCGTTATTCATCGAATCGAAGCCGTCGGTGACTTTCTACTCACGTGGATGAAGTCGTTGGTGGTTTCTAAATGTTTGAATGATTTTTGATATGAATACAATCATAAGGGATTGAGAATTTTATTTGAATGATTTATGATATGACCGTAGTCACAAAGAGCTTGCTATTTTATTTAAATGATTTGTGATTAGTTGAAGTCACAAGGAACTTGTTATTTTTATTTGAATGATTTATGATATGGTTGCAGTCTTTAAACATTTTTTAAATGACTTGTTATTCTTTGAAATGGAGCCGACAGTGACTTTCCACTCATATGGACAAAACTCGTTAATAGCTTCTAAATATTTTTAAATAACTTTTCGTTTATTGAATTAAAATCGACAATGGCTTCTCACTCATGTGGATGATGCCGTTGATGGCTTCCAAACATTTTCAAATGACTTATTGTTTACCGAATCAAAGCCTTCGAGTGGCTTCTAAATATTTGAATGATTTGTGATATGACTATAGTCGTAAGGGACTCAAAATAATTTTGAATTATTTATTATATGACCGTAGTCACAATGAACTCATTATTTTATTTAAATGATTTGTGATATGGCTAAAGTCGCAAGGAACTCGTCATATTTATTTGAATGATTTTGTGATATGGTTATAGCCCCAAAGGACTCATCTTTTTATTTGAATGATTTGTGATATGGCTACAATCATAAGAGATTCCCTATTTTATTTGAATGATTTATGACATGAATGCAATCATAAGGGACTCGTCATTTAATTTGAATGATTTATGATATGGCTACAATCGTAAAAGATTCATCATTTGTTGTGATTTCCATTTACTTTAATATTTGAATGATTTTTAGTTTGTGTGAATTAAAGTTGTTAATGGCTTCCTACTTGTGTGGATTAAGTCGTTAGTTCCTCTCCTTAATAATCCTAATTTTGTGATCTAAAGTCTTTGTTGACTTTTCACTTGTGTGAGCAAAGTCATCGATAATTTCGTGTTCTTGTCAATATAAGCTCCTAATTCTTAAAGACTCACCTATTTATCGATACAAGTTTACAATTGATATGGGGTTAACCAAAATTTTAACTTCTACACCTTTTTCCTCTCGCAGTATAGACATAGGCCTTCGATCGACTTAAACCCCAAATTGCTCGACCAATTTATCTCACTAAAATAAATTCATTCAAGTAAGAATAGGTTCATAACATAATAAAATCTTATTTTAATTTTTAAACGTATACAATACAACCCACCTCAAGTAGGATATTATGGTAGTGATTAATTGTCTCCATAATCGACTCCTTACAAGATATTTATGTTTATGGTTTTATAGTTCTCCCGAATTGCTAGTTGGCGACTCCACTTGTGTCACAAGCCCCTATAAACAGTTTGGCGACTCCACCGGAGACATGTTATGCTAGGGTCAAGCTTTGAATGTATGTATGAATGAATCTCCGATTATATGTTATACTTCTATACTTATATGAATAATTCTTGAGTGAATCTTGCCTTTTAATTGCTTGTTTGTTTATTATGTGTTAGTTTGCATGTGTTTTATAAATATGTTGTTTGTGTTTTGTCTTTCCTTGTAGCCTTTTAACCGTAGTTTCTTAGTTTTAATTTCGAGACTAGGTATGGAGCCATGCCCTACACATATCATTATATTTACATGATTATAAACTATATTTATTTTTCCTTAGGATATAAGGAGATAAGTAGTGGTGTCCCGAGGGGTTTTGCCTCTAGTCAAGACTCAAAAAATCTTAAACCTTTTTGCTAGCTATCATTATGATAAATAATTTATGATTTTCACGATTGTTGATATTGTCATGGTCAATCTTAGTTGTTTTATGAAGTTTCATTAGGTAAGAAGGTATCTTTTTTGAGACTTAGATAAGGCCTACCCATTTATATAATGGCTAAAACTAGACTTTAAGGCTATTGTCCTTTGATTAAATACACCGGACAAGTCGGACATGTTTGAAACCTTGAATAAGATAACTTGGTCATGATGTTTTAGGATGGGTGACAAAAGAGCTCAAATACATGTTTAAGCCAACAACAATCTTTCAAGCATAATCTAAGGCTTATCAGCGAGTGGAAGGAGATCACCT